CCCCCCCTCCCCTCCCCCTTTCCCTCCCCCCCATCTTGTTTGGGAATTTCAAAGTACAGAAAAGTACAACAGATAATAGAACAAATATTCATATACATGTCACGTATAATTGGCTAATTTTGATCAATTGGTTAATATTTTGGCCTAATTATATCTAATACTTAAAAAAGAAGATAAAACAATCTCTATTATCTTCTTTCATCCAAATTCCTCTCTCATATGCCACCAAACTTTTCCAATAGGTGGCCAGATAGTAAATATTTTATATCTTCCAAGCCACATTTAGTCTTTGTCTTCTCCACTGTCCTCCTCTTTCTCTTCCTCTTCCTCTGCCTCCTCCTTCTTCAAACCATTAAAAAATATAAAAGTTATCATATGTGATGAGGCATTAACATCCATAATTTGTAGGTAATTCCTCCAACTCAGTAACAAAATAACAGATCACTTGATTTAAGACTTGTATAGCCATTTCTGCAAGAAAGATATGCAAATGGGAACTGATTTAAAAAAAAAATCTTTAAAATTCAAATGGAAACACAAAAGACCCAGAATAGCCAAAGCAATCCTAAGCAAGAGGCTAGAGATATCACAAAACCCAATTCCAAATTATGCTACAAAGCTATAGTAACAACAGCATGGTCTGGCATAAAAATAGACATACTGACTCATGGAATAGAATAGAGGACACAGAAACAAGCCCACATAACTGCAGCCACCTGATTCTTCACAGCAAAACCAAGAACATACCTTGCAGAAGAAACAGCCTCTTTAATAAATGGTTCTGAGAAAACTGGGCATTCATGTGTAGAAGATTGAAACTAGATCCTTATCATTTGGTAGAAAACTCAATTCAAAATAGATCAAAGACTTATGTATAAGACCTGAAATATTGAAATTATTAGAGCAAAACATAGGAAAAACATTTGAAGTTATAGGAACAGGCAAGGACTTCCCAAGTAAGACTCAAATAGCAGAGGAAATACTACTAAACACCAACAAATGAGACTGTGTAAAATGAAAAAGTTTCTGCACAGGAAGGGAAACAATGACCAAAATGAAAAAATTAATGGTCTAAAGAATGGGGGAAAATGTTTGCCAGTTATTATTTCAGCAGAGGATTACTATTTAGAATATATAATAAACTCAAAACACTTACTACCAGGCCTTCTCCTGCCCCGAGCCGCCACCGCTCCAGCACCAGAAAGGTAGCCATGCAGGTGCTCCTGAACCTCCATAACTCCCCTTACCCCTCCCCCCATGCACTCTCAGACCTCCGGATTGTGCGAGTTTTTGGACCCACACTTCAGAGAAAGAGGTTGTCATAAAGGGTATCTTTCTGAGTTCCCAACTTTGAACATCTCTAAAGAAAGGGCGTGGGAAACCTGTAGTAGAACGGTGTGGAGTTCAACCATTCAGAAAGTTGGGGAACTCAATCTGGGCCTTGCAGCCCGAGGTCAGTCTGCGTCATG